TCAGACGAAAGCTTTGCAGCAACTCCACATGCACAGATGAAGACAAAGCAGCCTTCAGCAGGAATTATTTCATCAGAGATGTCCAGTGGTGAGAAGCTCATTCTTTTTTTTTTTTCTGTGGAGACCAATTGAAAAACAAACAGGAAAAAGGCCATAAAGTCATGGTCCAGCAAAACACAACTGTTTCAATCAGCAAAGGAGCAATCAATTCCTCCATGTAGCAGCAGATTTAAAATAAATGTTTCTCATGTCTGAGAGTGAACCCTGCAGCAGGTCACACAGCTCTGGAGGACCTCAAGGCTGCTCCTCCAAGTGCAATGCCCTAGGCTGTGCCCAAACCAATATGGGCCAAATGCTGCAGGCATTGCATGCAGGAAAGCAGGGATGCTCACATCAGCTCATCTCACCTCCTGACAAAACCTATTCACCCCATTACTCTCACACAGACCCAGTTGCTGGTTCTGACTCAAGCATGTTTTTGAAAGCCATCCAGACCTCCCGCTGCAGAGCATGGCTGACAGGAAACACATGTCAGTGGAATTTCTCCATTAGCGCAAAAGGCACCGCTGGCCCCAGGAAATCCCAGAGTGCCTAATGACCCCCAAACCTCCTGGGGAGGGTTCTTTCTCTTCACTATTCCCTAAAATCTGCTACAGGCCACTCTCAGAGCCACAGAAGGAGAGCAGGACCTCAGATACAAGCCAGCACAGATGTTCTCTCCTAACTCAGTCAATACAGAGTTGACAATCATGCTAACAGACTAACCTAGAGCCAGCTTAAGCAGTTTTAAGCCAGTTTAAGCCAGCAAGTTTACACCTTTGCTGATGACACCTATGCTCAAGCAAGGGAGATGCCTTCCTGCTCCCTGTTATGGTTAGTTCTCATGTGTCTCTGTTGGATTTGGGTGCTGAGACCCATCTAACATCCCTATACACCTGGATATGAGATGTTGTCCTCAAACACTGGTGGTCCTCCTTGGGAAATGAGTTCTCCTAGGGGATAACCTAAATGGCCAAGAAAGTCCCCCAAGAAGGAAGGATGTTGAATGACCAGCTCAAGCATCAGCACCTCCAAGACCTCCCAACATCCCCTGTCCCACAACAGCAGGTCTCCTCCTCCTCCGCTTGCATCAAACCTCCCTCCAGGGACCAGCCATGGTCTGACCCAAAGAAGACATTTTTTGGTGCCCCCCCAGCCCTGTTCACTACCCCTCTGCTCAGCCTTGATAACATTTGGGAGTGTGCTGTTACCTTGTGCAGCACTACTGCAGGATGACCCCCAACTGGAACTTCACCTGGACTTCCCAGGGCTCAGACTAAAACCCTTTCTGTACACAGAGCAGTGTGAATCTGGTCCTGGAGCATTTGTGAGCTGAGTGAGTACTAGTGACTAATGCAGGGGGTGGGCTGACACTAACCCTGCTCTCTCTTCATTTCTACAGCTTGGGATAAGGCACTAACAGCCTTAAGCAGACACAGCTACAACCATTTCACAAGTCACAGAGGTGTTCCTACAAACCAGCTGCAAAGAGTAGTTCATGATAGAGGTGGTGAGAGGTCCAAGTGGAGCTGACTACAGGGCACTGGCTGTAATAAAGGAGCAATCTCAACAGACTTTGAACTTTTCCAGTGGTGAAAGAACAGGGAATGTTAAGAAATAAGACAAAGAGCTTACACTGATAAAAGCCACACGGGCAGCGGGGCCAGCCACCCAACCCAGAGGGAAGCAAACCTTGGAGAAGCGGATGCAGGGTGGGACTTATGGCACGGGAAGGCTGATGGACACAGACTGAAATCCACAGAGGCTCCTCCAGGTCTGGGAAACTCATTTTGTGGAAGCAGAATGATTCAGGCCAAGTCCCTCCCTTGCTGGAACATTTTGGAGAGGCTCCTCTATGTGACCAGCTCCTTGCTCCCCAGAGAACAAGAACCAAAACCCCACAGAAACAAATGCATACATATATCAGTAGGCTCAGGGGGTCAGGGACAAGCCCTGGGCAGGCAGCCACAGGTCTCTGCAAGGGCAACCCTCCTGCTCTTGCAGCTCACCCCTGGGGACATTTTGGGGCACTTGTCCCACATACCAACTCACACTGAACTCCTCCTGCATGTCCTTTGTCTGGCACCTTTGCGTTCTCCTCGGGGGTCCCCACACAAGGGGTGGAATGCAGGGTCACCCCACACAGGGGAGTGGTGGAGAAATGCTCTGCAGGGCAAAGCTGGCAGTGACATCTCTGCCCGCTGTTTGCTGTGCCAGCCTGGATGGCTTCACCCAGTGGGGGAGGCAGGTGCCCCTCCCCACCCTCACACCATTAACCTTTCAGCCCCAAAATAAAAGGTTATAAAAAAACAATCAAGGTTCATTACATCCCTTAATGTGTCATTTGCAAGGGAATGAGCTGGGAGTGATAAGGCAACTTTCTCCTGCGTGGAAGGGAGTTGGGAGAGGAAAGGGGAAGAACTGAGCATCTGGACCTGGCAAGGGTGATAGGGCTCAGCCCCACAATGAGACAGGGTAGGCATGGGAGTGAACAGAGTCAAAGGGAGCATCCCAGAGAAGCCCACAACCACATGATCACTGGCTCAGCAGCAGCAGGACTGGACCTCACCTACCAAAGGGAAAGTGACAGTGGTTTCACACCAACACTTCCACCACACAGCCCACGGTGCCTTAGGGCCACTGAGACTTCGATGTGCCCATCCCCAGCAGGTGTAGAGGGTCCAGGACACAGCTGAAACCAAAATGATCATCAGCTCAGGGGAAATGAAATAGAAGCCTTAGTCAGAAGACAGCAAAGGCAGTAGGAGATGGGAAGTTCAGACATTAGTCACAAGGGCAGGCAGGCAGCTCTGCCCTGTCAGACGCAGGGAGCCGCTACACCGCACAAAAGAGCCCAGTGAGAATTTCATTTGACTGGGCTGAACCATGAGGGCAGGAGGCTGTGGGAGGACTACAGCTCTGGAGGCATTATTTCAGGAGTTTGCACCTTACTCTTCCTTTTGATGGAAAATCAGGAGCAATTAGATATTTCAGCTGTGTAAAGCTTCACCAACTGAAAGCCCAGCAAAGCCCCAATCTCCCAGCCCCAAACCCAACAAAGTACTCTATTGTCCATACTAGAGATTTGGCTGCAGAGACATCAGACAGCCAGAGGGATGGGGCAAGTGTAATAAATGGCTGCTGGATCACCTCCTGTCCCAGGCACTGACCCGGTGCCTCCCACAGGGTCTGCTTTGTAAAACCCTCCAAGGCCAGAGAGAGGAAGGAGGACACTCTACCAGAATCAAGCTCCCCTGGCCTGCAAAGGCCACCATGAGATGAGCAAGATGTTCATCTCTGGGCCACCATTAAGTGCCCTACTCCCAGCAGTGATGCCTCCTGCCAGCCCTGGACCCCTCCCAGATTGCTGAGCACCTCCAAATGCAACTCCAGTGGCACTTGCAGAGTGGGGCTGTGAGACCAGCAGCTCCAGCATGGGGCCCTGGTCACTCATTTCCTCACCAAATAAGAAGCATACCAGGGAAACAGGATGACATCAAGTAACCCAACAGTGGGAAGAGCAGGTGCCAGAGCTCCCAGACAGTTACATGCGCTGCTGGGCAAAACAAAGCCCACACTAAAGCATTCACAGGATTGACACCTTTAGTGTTCCCCACCTTTGGAGTTACCTGGCACTTGTGGCAAAGCCGAAGCTGATGGTGAGCAGACCTTGGCATCCTCAGGGAGGTAGGTAGCCTCAGAGAAGCAGTTCCACGTTTAGTGGGAGAACAATCCCTCATCACCTCCTGCAGGGAGGGTCTTGGCAGCCCTGGTGTAAGGGCAAGAGAGCCTGGCTGGCTGGCTCTTGCGAGCTGGAAACAAAGCCCCACTCAGATAAACACTCCTGCATACATCAAGAAATGTTTCCTTCCAGCCTAATCATTTCTAATCCCATCTGCAACCTAATTATTAAAAACCTTCACAACTCAAGAGCTGTAAACACTGTGCCAGGCAGGCGTCCCCAGCAGTAGTGCCAGGCTGCATTTCCAGGAAGCAAATCACACCCTCAAACCCTGAGCTCTTTTCTTTAAGAAACACGTGAATGCTCTCACTGTGGCACAAAGGAGGAGTGGAAATACCGAAAAAATATTAAGGACTCATTTGTTATTATGCCACTGCACAATGAACGGAGCCATTGTTCCCTACCTGGGCTAACAACGCCTTTCAGAAAATACAAAGCACTTTTCCCCCCTGTCCTTTAAAAAATGTCAAGACCAAGGCTGCTGGAGGAACAGTGAGCAGTTCAGAAAATAAAATACAATACAATAAAATAAAGCAGCTAACAGATTGTTCAGAGGGTTTTCACACTTGATCTGTAAACGCTCTTTTATTTAATAAAAATAATCATCCATTATAGCAACTTCTGCTTGTGGTTTGGTTGGGTGTTTTTTTTTTTTACATTAAAGCACAGTTTATTTGCTTTCCTCATCTCTTGAGGATTCAGTTCTGAAAATGCAAGTGAATGTAAACATTGCTTTCCAGGTCCCAAGATGCATCTGAGGACCCTTGGAGTTAATTACAAAGTCAAAAGAGAGAGCAAAATCAACAGAACACTTCTCAAAAGTAAAAAGGTATTTTTAAAGTCTCTTCCATACGACTCCAGAGAAGGCAAATTCATCTTATACATGAAACTTCCACAAACTTTGCTTTCTCCAAACAATTTCTATGACTTGTCAGTATTTGATAAAGCTGTTTTCATAACATTAAAAGACTTGCAGACTCATTTATTTTTAGAAATAAAAAGCTTTTCCTATAAATGTTCTCCAGAAATTTATTCATGGCACAAGGATGTTAGATTTGTTCTGTCCACTTTTGTTTTGTTTTTGGTTTGGGGTTTTTTTGTTGTTGTTTGGGTTTTTTTAGCAGAAAAAGCTGAAAGCCATTTCAGGAAAGAGTGTAAAAGCAGTATTAACCCTCTCTCCTGCTGCAATCTCACAATATTTACACATATATTTAAAAAAAAAAAAAAGCTTAATCACACTATAAAATACTGGAAAAAATGTCAGTTAGGTTTCCCACTTCAGAGTTTTGCCCTGTATAAGACTGAAAGAGGGATGCTTTAATATGTCCTAGAAAAATGAGACTGGCAGGTTAAAAACGGAACTTTTCCCCCTCTGAGAAAGACAAGAAGGCCCATTGTGCACAAACCCCCTCCTCTCTGCAGGAAATCCCACAGGAGTTAAACTACAACAAATCAACACAGATGAGATAACTTGATATGCAGAGCCCTGTTATTTGCTTTGAAATGTTATCTATTTACAGTTGAGGTGGAGGAAGCGAGTGAGCATCGAACACATTTCGGTGCTGCAGACTGGTACAATATCAAACAAGATTAACTCGTGGGGAGCTTGGCTGGGTCCCAAGCCTCACGTTGCAGGGGAGATAGTCTCGGTTGCCTGGGACATCCCTGCCTGCACAGCAAAGGCACCGCTCCATCAGGGTCTGCTTTAATGAGTAACAAGACAGCAGTTGCCATCTCAGCTGTATTGTATCACAGGCAACACAGCAATCAAATGAAAACAGGTATGATATAAAAAAATAACAACAAAAATAGCCAGTCTGGTGAGGTCTGTGATCCTAAGCTTTATAGCCAAAACAAAAAAAATCACATTGAAAATTTTAGTAATATTATCAAACTGTCAGGTAGGGGATGGCTCTAGTTGTTCAGTGGTTTTGAGAGAAGGGTTTTTAAGGGGGTGGAAAGAGAGAGACTTTGAAGGTGTCAAAAATTAAAGCATTCACAGTTTCAAAGCTGCTTGCCTTACAAAAATTAAGACATTCAAATTCAAGAATACAATACTGTATTTTACAAGAGGGTCAAAATTCATACATATACAACAGGGAAAAAAAAGATACAACAAAATAATAAAGCCAACACCTCTGGTGTGGCATACTCCCTTTTTGTTGTTCATCTCATAGAGCTGCACGCTGTTTGTCTTTAAAGAGTCAAACTGAGCAGTCATGAAAACATCCACTGAGAGATTCTGGCAAAAATAAAAAAAACCCTAACAAAATAAACCAAGCAAGTCAAAGGCCATCCTCCCCTGGAAAGCCAAATGCCACAGCTCGGACCTCCACTTGCCTGCTGCTCCTCACTGCTGCTTCCCAGCACTTCCATAGGCTCCTCTCGGGTTTTAAAGGCTTCCTGCTCACAAGCTAAAGGAAACCATCCCATGCAAGCACAGTCCGAGAGAGACATGCTTTACTCTCCTACAAAGTCTTGATTAGTCCTGCCCACAGCAAAGGCTCCTTCAAACAATCCTTTTCCTCTCTATCCTGCAGAGGATCCTTTTGAAGGCCCGCCTGAAGTCATGGTTGAAAATGGTATAGATGACGGGATTCAAGGAGCTATTGCAGTACCCGAACCAGAAGAAGAACTTGAAGAGGGTGTCAGGCACGGAGCAGCTCTCACAGACGGCCATCAGCGTGTAGGTGAAGAAGAAGGGGAACCAGCAGATGACAAAGACCCCAATCACCACTGCGAGCACAAAGGTGAAGCGCTTCTCCCGGTTCTGCCTGCCCCTCCACCGGGATCCTTTGGTGTTCCTCTCCTCCTCCGTCTTCCTGGGCAAACTGTCCCCAGGCTTAATTTGGCTCAGCTTAGTCTTGGTCTTTCCTCTTGACGGTCTCTCTGACTTCTTACACTGGTTGTTCTCCTGGTGCTCGGAGGAAGAGGTCTCCTCCATGTCTATGCCATTGACCTCTCCCTCCTGCCCACCGCTGCCTCCTGCCGCCTTCTCTCCGTTGAGCTGCGCTGTGGCTGGCAGGTCCTCCTTGTCAGTTAAGCCATTCTGCTTCTTCTCAGGGCGCTCTGCTCGCTTGTTCGGTGGTACCCTGGTTCGCCTCTTGGCTATCTGGTAGATGCGCACGTAGACCAGGATCATGATGAGGCAGGGGGCAAAGAAGGAGCCAATGCTAGAAGAGATGATGTACCACTTCTCATCATTGATCTTGCACTCTGCCACCCCCTGGTCAGCCTGCTGCCCGCTCTTCTTCTCGATGGAGATGAGTGGTGGGAAGGAGATGACAGCTGAGATGACCCAGACGATGAAGATGATGCACTTGATGCGGCGTGGGGTGCGCTTGAGGTTGTACTCGATGGCTTGTGTGATGGACCAGTAACGGTCCAGGCTGATGGCACACAGGTGAACGATGGAGGAGGTGCAGAACAGCACATCCAAGGCCAGGTAGATCTCGCACCAGACTTTACCAAAGTACCAGTACCCCATCATCTCATTTGCCAGTGAGAAGGGGATGACCAGTGTGGCCACCAGGATGTCAGCCGAGGCTAAGGAAACCAGGAAGAGGTTCTGGGGGGCTTTGAGCGCCCGGCTGGTGAAGACAGCAATAATGACCAGGACGTTGCCGAAGACAGTGAAGAGCATGAGCAAGCCGGCCAAGCTGATGAGGGTGATGGTGGTGTGCAGAGGGTACGGCGTGCCCCAGCCCGGCCCGGCCCCGCTGTCGTTGAAAGTCCCGTTGCTGCCGGGAGGCGGGTAGCCCTCCTCCTCCTCCAGCTGTCGCTGGTACTCCATGGAGGAGAAGAAGTGGCCCCTCTCCGTGAAC